ACACAAAACTCTTTCTCTGCAATTGACAATATTTTCACAAACACACTCTTCCATTTCACATTTAAATCAGGCATCATTAGAAATGACATAACCGACCATTTCTCAGTCTTTGCAATTTTCAAAAAACCAAAAGATATACTAAAAAAGGACTGGTACTTCAAAAAAAGAATCTTAGCAACCCGAGCGAAAGATATGTTTAAACTAAAGCTATCGACTGTAAATTGGAACTTTGTTTTTCTAGAGACATGATAAATTTTTCAATTTGTATAATAAGCATTTTCCTAATAAAACAAGCCGTGTTAAAACTAAAAGGCTTCTTAATCCTTGGTTCACTAAAAACCTTTTATAGTCTTCGAAGCGAAAACAAAAGCTATATACGTTTACTAAATCAATGAAAGATTACGACAAGCACAATTTAGAGCACCAACGTCTATTTAAAAGAACTAAAAAAATAGCCAGAACTACATACTTCAAAAACAAGCTGTTAAAACTAAAAGGTAACTGGAAAAAAACGTGGGATGCTATTAAAGAGATTCATGAAAAAAAAAAAATACACAACAAAGTCTTACCAAGCGTGGTTACTGTAAACGGCACACAGATCTCTGATGTAAAATCGGTGGCAACAAAATTAAAAAATGAGTTTTTCGTAAATATTTGTTCAAACTTAGCCAGTAAAATTAAACACATTCCTGCACATTTCTTGAACTATCTATCAAAGTCGGATAAAAGCTTAGCATTTAAAAAACTCACTAGTTAAGAACTTGATGACTCAATAAAAAAACTAAATATAAATAAAGCAACAGTCTACGATTCTATTTCAGCAAGCATAATTAAAGACTGCTATGAACTTGTTAAAGATGTTTTATTGGATATTTTTAACAAATCGCTTAAAATAGGTATTTTTTCAGATAAACTGAAAGTTGCAACTATTACATCCATTTTTAAATCAGGAGATGAAAGTCTGGTTACAAATTATCAACCTATATCGGTGTTATCTGTTTTTTCAAAAATCCTCGAACGCATCATGTATAATAGCATATTTGCATTTTTAAATGATAACAATCTTCTTTATTATAACCAATATGGTTTTTAGATCAAATTACTCTACGGAACATGCACTTGTGCAACTTGTGGAAGTTATCAGTGGAGCATCTTCTCATAACAAATTCACTTTCGGTATATTCCTAAACTTGTCAAAAGCATTTGACACCGTTAACCATCAGACATTATTAGAGAAACTCAAATATTATGGAATAAACCACGAATACCATAAATGGTTTACCAGTTACTTAACTGATCGAAAGCAGTTTATTTCTCTAAATGACGGCTTTCAGACAAACAAATTTAAAATACAATGTGGCGTTCCACAAGGCTTCATCTTAGGTATGCTGCTGTTCTTAATCAACGATCTATATAAAGCATCAAATACTATGTCAACTATTATGTTTAAAGACGACACCACTTTATTTTATTCTCACGGTAATATTATCTCTCTATTTCAAGTAGCAAATAATAAACTAGAACAAATATCAAACTTGCTTATTGCCAACAGCCTATCTTTAAACACTGAAAAGTTTTTCTTATTCCATTCTAAACGAAAGTTTCAATATGTTCCAAAATCCTTACTAATGCAATATATAAATAACATCAAAATTGAGCGCTCATTCATAGATAAATTACTTGGTATTTTAAAAGATGAAAACTTATCTTGGAGAGATCATATTAAACATATTAGCAATAAAATTTTAAGAAATATTGGTATTTTATATAAAACCAGACAAATATACACTATTATAACTCAGCTATATTTTGCATTTATAAATAGTTATTTATCTTATGGCAATATTGTTTGGGGTAGTACAAATAAATCTAAATAAATCTAATGTCTCCTTAAACAACAAAATCATGCAGCACGCATTATTCATTATCAAAATCGCTACACAAATGCTAAACCTCTTCTAAAAAAGCATGAGAGCACGTGATATTTATGAACTAAATATTTTCAAAATTACACAATTTATGTTTCAATATCATTCAAAAAAAACGCCGATGGTTTTCAAAAATATTTTCCCTAAAACATTAAACCGATACAACACGCGATCTACCGGAAGATTTAAAAAACCTTTCCGTACATCAAAACTTACGAGCTTTGCCATTTCCTATCGTGGCCCGATGCTATGGAACCATTTTACAAGCCTGAGTTGTAAACTTAAAGCAGCCAATACCTCTCAAAAAAATATAAAAAGAACATAATCAAACTTATTGCCAATCAAGATTCTTTACATAATTTTTTCTAACAATACACTTTTATTTCCAATTTTTATAACCAAAGATTACTGATGATAAGATTTTATCTTCTTCAGGTTCTCCCGTCTCGTAACTACTATAAATAATAAAATATATTTGTATTTAATATTTTATCGGAAATTATCTTTAATTGAAAATGGTTAAAAAAAATAAAAAATAAATATATATATATATATATATATATATATATATATATATATATATATATATATATATATATATATATATATATATATATATATATATATATATATATATATATATATATAACTATTTTATCAGATTCCATAATGAAATCTGATATTTAAATCTTCTTGAACAATTCTTATGATTGTCATTTTGAGATCATAGTTTTTAGACAACGCTAACAAGAACAGTTCTAAAAATAGTCCTGGTTATTTTTTATTATATTTTATCTTCAGTTTTGATATGTCATAGGTCTTCATGTGATTCATCACTGGAGAAAGATTTTCTGGTCTATTTCAAAAGTTGTTTTACTTGACTCATTTTGTCATCTTTGAAATTGTATTAACTTTTTTTTTGCGGGTGCTTATCCATGTAATATTGGCATCCATGGCATCCATACAATGTTGGCATATATGAGATTACTATGAGTAAGATTAAAATAAAGAATTTTAGGTGATTTATAATAAAGAAGGGATTGTTTTATATAATACACCTGTTAAACAAATCTTTTTGTTTCAGGAACTTCTAATTTGTTTTGAAAAAACTCCATAAAATAAAACCCCTCAAAATTGCTATGCTTTTTACGCTTTTTTCTATTGTACAATATTTTGGCGACTTCAACGAAAATCTTTCTTTGTTTATAAAAAATTTAAAAATATATTTTTCGCGAGACTAGAAGTTAATGTTTTATATATATTTATAATTTATATATATATATATATATATATATATATATATATATATATATATATATATATATATATATATATATATATATATATATATATATATATATGTATATATAAATATATATATATATATATAAAATATATATATATATATATAATATATATATATATATATATATATATATATATATATATATATATATATATAAATATATATATATATATATACATACATATATGTATATATATATATTATTTATATATATAAATATATTTATATATATATATATATATTTATATATATATATATATGTATATATATATGAATTATATATATATATATATATATATATATATATATATTTATATACATATATATAATATATAATATATATATTATATATATAATATATAACAATGTATATATATATATATATATATATATATATATACATGTATATATATAAATGTGTATAAATATATATATATATATATATATATATATATATATATATATATATATATATATATATATATATATATATATATATATATATATATATATATATATATATATATATATATATTCATATAGTAGCATGTTCGAAAACAGATTTTACATTAAAATGGATACTTAAGAGGACATTAGCAGTAACGGGGACATTTTAGTGTACTCGATAATTTTTTGTCCTCGTAAGTAGCGTTTTTTTGTAAAAAAATGTCCCCGTAAATAGTTTTTATGCAAAGCGAAAAGTACATACATCGACTGACAAATAGCCTGACTCGAAAGGGAGTGCTGCTACATCGACTGAGAGTTTGGTTTGGCCAGGCAGCAAGGTCAGGCTTAGAGTTAGGGTTAGGGTTAGTTATTTTAATGTAAATAATCGTTTTTGTAAATATATATATAAAAATATAAAATATAATAGATAATAATTAAATAAAAATAATAGAAATATTTATAAAAAATAAATTTTTTTACAAAAATAATAAATTTAAAAATGAATAAATAAAATTTTACATAAAATTAAAACATAAAAAAATAACATATATGAGAAATATAGTAAAAATAGAGAAATAAAAATTGCGATGAACGGGAAAAAAAAAATGTACCCGTAAATAAAGCACTAGTACTGTATATATATATATATATATATATATATATATATATATATATATATATATATATATATATATATATATATATATATATATATATATATATATATATATATATGTATATATATATATATATATATATATATATATATATATATATATATATATATATATATATATATATATATATATATATATATATATATATATATATATATATATATATATATATATATATATATATATATATATATATATAATAAATGATAACGCTCCCAGGATTGGTCCCTGTCTTAATTTAGCTTTTTTTTTATCCAACAATGTTTTTTGTTACAATTTTTTACCACTATACACTAAGTTTCTTATGCCATAATGCTTTATCTTCGAAAAAAAAAATGTAGTCAATGTGTACAAAGGACTTCCTTTGATACATAAATGCATACAAATATGTGTAAAGATTGTGCAATACAAAATGCACAAATAACTTACGTTCATACAATTTTTAGGTTAAGCATTTGTAAAAAGCAAAGCTGAACCTTTAAAATGTACTTTAGTCAAAATAATACATTTTAATGCAACTTGAAAAACAAATTTAGTTATTCTGTTAATTTAGAGTTACAAGGAACTGCATGAGTAGGTTTTAAAGTAAAAGTATTGTTTACATTTTCCATGTTACGAGGTCTGATTATCAACGATGCGTTCCGCAATTTAAAAGCAATAGTTAAGTTGTAGAACAAGTTGTCTTTAGTGCAGTATATTAATGGGTTGATAGCCGCGGAAAACTTGGCTAGCAGTGCTGCTATTTTTAAAAGTAAACTTGGAGTAGTTAATGATGTAAAGGTTGATAAAATACCGATTGTTGCGTACGGTGTCCAGCATAAAAGAAATGACAAAACCATAATTGAAAAAGACAAAACTGCTTTTTTTTCTTTTTTTTTAAACCTTTTTGTTTCAATGTTCTCTTTACCGTAAGTACATGAGAAGTATGTTAACTTAAGATGAATCACTCTTGCTGTGTAAGAACACGACACTAAAATTATAATTAGTGGTATTAAATACATAAATACTACCAGCAATATTAAAAATATTTTATCCGATACACGTTTAGGCGTCCAATTAATGGAACAACGAGAACCTGTAGCTTCTACTGTATAAGAAGAAAATCCCAGGAGAGGTAAAGCTGCCCAAACTATAGAGTAAACCCAAGATACCATTCCTATTTTGTAAAATAAAGGTCGATAACAGCCGTAATTGCTTAGAAACGGTTTTTCCAGTAAAAACATTCTTGAAATTGCAACAGCAGTGAGAATCGAAATGCATGTAAATGATGGGAATGCTGTAAAAAATGCTGCTAACCTGCACAAAAGCGATGGTTTTATTGAGCTTTTATTGAAAAAAAGGGTTGGTAAATAACCAAATATGCTTTGAACTTCAGCGCTAACGGATAAGTTTACACACAAAATAATGTAGTTGTTTACCCTTCTTTTGGCAAGACAGTACAGTGATGCAATATTTCCAATAATAGCCATTAGAGCAATAAATGTTAACGAAATTTGTTCTGCGTCCATTTAAAGAAAGTTTTAAACTATTCCCATGCAAATGAAATGTTTTTTGCAGAATGGTTTGTACCAAGGTAACAACAGATTTATTATTTAACTGCATCCTTATGACAAAGAAATATTTATAATAAAGTCTATTGATAGAAGACTTCTTTAAAAAAAATTAATCTACACATCTGAAGTCTGGAAATGTTATTTTTAGTTTTGCGTTCATCACCGTCACTTTTATATTTAGAAATCCTGCCGATTGTCATGTTTCCATAAACTAAATCAGTCAGATTTGTGTTATCAAAGTGCATTAAAAAAAGTTAAAAAATTCTTGAACAATTTTTGAACAATTTTTGAAAGATTAATTATAAAAACCTTTACTATCGCGTCTAAGTGATCAACGGATTAAATTAGAATTATCATTCCCTAAGTGCTTAGGTGTTTCATCTGGAGTGCCTTAAAAGACAATGATAAGCAAATATTCTTTAACATATTTATAAACGATTCCTTTTTTTGTTTCTAAAAGACTCCAAACTTTATAATTTTACTAATGATAAATCTCCCTATGTTTGTCGGTCAAAAACATTCAAAAAATCAATTATAACGTCCTTTTATTTGGATGTTTTACTATAAATACAAACAAATCTTATTTATAAAAACACATACTCTACAAAAGATTTCATTTATCTTTAGATGAAATGTTAAAATTAGACTAAAACCCATGAATCCAAAAGCTTCAAAACAAAAGTCTTTTTTAATTAAGTTTTTAAACCGTAAAATTATGGGATTTTATTTAAAGAACAAAATGTTTTTCTTTCTTTCTTAAGCTTTGATGTTGCAAAAATTGATGCCACTTATAAGAATCATAAAATTCTATAATTTATATCTATAATTTATATAGAGCAAACTTGTTTTAGGGTTCAATTGACAATATAACCGTGTTTTTAGTAAGACTACATGTGTTCAAAAAAGAATTTTCAAATAAAATAGAGACATTTTTTTTTAAATTGGTAAAACATAATATTTTAAAATTATTTTTACATATCTTTTAAATATATATAAAATTTCAGACCTTATAAATAAATAAAGATTATAGATAATTCCTACATAGTTTACTTTTTAAGTTATTGTATATAATCAACTTAAAATAAAGTTTTAAATAAACAATTATTATTACCGGAAATAATAAATAAAAAAATAAATAAAATTGAAAATAAGGTCAAAAAAAAAAAAAAAATAATCTACAGAATAAGTAATGTGCGTTTCTTGTCTTAACTACAATAGCCGAAACTTGCAAAGAGATTTAAAGATTTGAACATTGTCATAAAAAAGTTTTACGACTATGATTAAAAAAAACCACATAAAGAAATTTTAAACAGACATCGTGTGATGAAAATTAAGCAATATTAAATATGAAACAATAAAAATAAGAAAATAACAAAAAATCTTTAGCTATAAATTTTACAGAAATTTCATAAAAATTTAAATAACCTTTTTGTTTAGTTAATTTTTTTTTTTTTTTTTTTTTGGTACTTTAAAATGCTTTAAGAAAAACTTAATTGGCCACGTCTATTAAAAGACACATGCTCTTCTACGCTTCGAATAAAAAGACTTTCATAACCAAGTTGTCATAATGGCCATCATAGGTATTGAACAGACCTTTTCACAATTTCACGTTTTAGTTTAAATAGAGGTAATCAAAAAACTGCAAGTTTTCTAAGTTAAAAATGAATTGTATTTTTTACTAATAGGTTACAAACTTAGCTTTTCTTCAAAATATGTGCTGTTAACAAAGGCGTCAACTGTGTTGTTAACTGTGCTGTAAATACTCAAGTTAGTTAAGGCAAAATAGTAAAACTTAAATTTAAGAAATTTAAGAACATCTCATTTTTAACAATCTATAACTTGGGCGTTGAATGAAATGAAATCAATGAGAATTTATTTTTGTTTAATACAACTAGGATAGAGCGGGGCATATAGAGACACTTAAGAAAAAAATGCTAGTTGCGGATAAACTAATCTTAGTTAACACTGTTTTTTATTTTATTTTTTTATTTTTTTATTTATAAGTTCATTGATATAAAAAAAATCGTTAATATAAGAAAACGGAAAAAAAACACAACAAAGTACTGAAACTCTAGACTAGCCAAATTTCTATATTTAACAAGTGGGTGAGGCAAATCAGGACAATTAAAAAACAGCAGTTATTTGTTAATTGTAAAACTTTAAAGCTGATATAAAAATAAGACACTTTATCATTTAAACATGCTCAGGCATTACAATCTTAAAAAAGTAACATAGCCATACAAATTACACGCACATACACCCATACACAACACTCTTTAACAAATAAACTTGAGAAATTGTTTTAAAATTTAAGTTAAGCAAAACTAGTTTATATTATTAAATTAAAACTACTACTAAATTTAATATTAAATAAAAAATATTATGGATCAAATTGTTTTTTAAATTAATAATTTTATCAGAGCATTATCATAAATTTGTTTTTATATTTTAATTCTAATTTAGTAAAACTCCAAAAAAATCAATGACACCAGTTTTATATAAATATTAATACGGCAATCTAAATATTAATACGGCAATGAATATTAGTGCGCATAGTTACGCATTGTTACGCCTATTGTTCGTTTTGTTAGTTACGGTTCTGCATTATGTAAAATACACTATTTCTTAGTTTTTAAGTTGTTTCTAGACTTTTCTAAGCGCAGTTATATATTCCACGCGGTCTTTCGAGTAAAATCAGCAAGCAAATTGGAGCTGATACACTTACTTTCAAGAAGAATTGATGTTGTTTATTTTTTAAAATAAAAAATTTAAATAATTGTTAGTTTCTTGTTACTTATTTTTATTTTTTTTAATTTTTATAGCCTGTTTTTTTTTTAGAAGAAGTTAAAACTAAAATGTTTGGTAAAATAGTTTTTTTAGTAAAATGTTTCTTTTTTAGTAAACTGTTTCATTTTGTCGTTAGTCTTTTTAGAACAATTTAAGCAAGTATTTTTTTAATTTTTAGAGCAGTGAAGAGAAGCTGATGCTTTTTTTAGTAAGTTCAATTCGTTTTCTTATTTATAGATTAAGATTAAGAATTATATATAAAATAATGTTTTATATATGTACTTAATATGAAAAGTTAAACATAATAAGACTGTTATTTGTGTTCATGTAAGCTTATATACATAAGTTTGCGTTTATTTTAGTCTATTTTATATTTCTCTATATCTATATATATGTATATTTTCTCTTAGCAAAATTTATTGAGAATAGAAAAATAAAAAAAATTCTTCTGGAATTTGTCAAAAGAATATTGTGTTATACTTCATTTTAAGGTATCTAAATATGTATTTATTTTTCATTTTTTAGAAGAAGTTAGAACTAAATTGACTGGTAAAATAGTTTTATTATTTTTTTAGTGCAATTGGAAAGAGCTAAAGTGCTTTTTAGTCACTTCAAATCATTTGTTGGTTGTCCAATCAGTGGTTAGAGCAAGCGCTCTAACCACTGCGCCAAGGCCGCACAAAGTGATGAAGGTTAAATTAATAAGCCATTATAAAACTATTAGATTATTAACCCTTTAAAAACCCCGTGTTTTTTTTTTTAATATGATCTCTATTTCTCAAGTTTTTTTTTTTTTTTTAAAGTGGTCTCTAAATGTCCCGTGTTTTTAAAATCATCTAAGTCATAAAATCATTCTTTTTTCCTAATAGAATTTAAAAAGTTTTTTACAATTTTTAACATTTAACACTACAAAATGTTATTTTTCAAGTTTAAGAATATATAAATCATACAACATAAACACAAAATTTTAAAAAAGTATTCACTTATATTCACTTTTTGTATGATAATTAGAAAAACATGAAGCTACACAAAGTCCTACATCACATTCTACACATTCATATCTTGAATCTTTTTGAATTTTGTGTTTGTAACATACCACATACCTTCTTTGAGCATTAGTGTATTATAATTATTATTATTTTCAATAATCGTTCGTCACATATATTTTTTCATTATTGATTCATCAAATGTATAATTTTCTACCTTTTCGTGAGTAAATATTTAGTTTTTGATAATTATTTTTGCACTAAAAGAACTTCTTTATTTGACATATTTAAAATTAAAGTGGACACGTGTAAAAGAATTTTTGAAACAAAAGCTCTGTAATAATGTAATAATAAATTTTGTGACAAGTATAATTACTGATGAACAAGAAGAGATGCATAAAACCGTAATATTACGGCATGGACATTTGGAAACAACTTTTAGAATGCCTAATAATACGGCATGGGCTGTTGACGGGTTAATGTCAGCCCAAAGGGGGGGAAAGATTAATAACATTTCAGAGATAAAAAAAATATAGTAGAACGAAAACAATTTTTTTTTTAATGGAGAGGTACAACGTTACATCAAAAAAAAAAAAAAATAATAAAAATTATTTTTATTTATTACGGTAATCTTTTACCATAATAGCATGCAAGATTGGTGTAATATTGGTACAGTATTTATTTCTATATTTTGTAAATATTGTACCAATACAAAATGTCCACATTTTGATATATATAGTCAATATTGATTTCAAATATTTTCTTTATATAAATATATGTTTGCAATTTATTGCAAACATATTTCTTTTTTATAATAACCAATTAAAATAGTCGCATGTAGTTTAAAGCAGATCATATTAAAATGAATACAGAAAACGTATTTACATGTATAGTATACAATACATGAGTTAATACAATAAATGTGAACTGTAAAAAGTTGCAGGATTCAAAACGAATTATTTTTTTTTTTGCCAACCAAATAGAATCACCTGCAGCTGATACCAGGCTCCACAGGGCCCTATATGATAGGTTTACTTTTTTAAAGAGCGTACGCTCCTTTTTAGCCCATTTAAGGGCTGTTATACGTTTTGTTACTTAGCCGACACTAGGCAACGCATACTTATGAGCTGTTTTATTTTATTTTGTAATTTTAGTTTTTAATTTTAATAATTTTAGTTTTTAATTTTAATAATTTTAGTTTTTAATTTTAATAATTTTAGTTTTTAATTTTAATAATTTTAGTTTTT